TTGTAGGTGGTGGTTGTGGCTTGTTTCCCTTTCCTTCTTCTACCGGTGGGTTATTTGCCGTGAGTGGGGTGGTGATGCTCATGAAGGGTTTATCCGTGGGTTGACGGTTAAAGGGGTACACACTCTCTCCTTATCCACCTTCCCAAATAGCGTACCTTATGATACCCACCTGTTCGTCCGGTAGTTTAATTTATTTATTTTCTTTTTCGGAGGTGTGAAGACTGGTCCGGTGGTTTTCTGTGCAGTTGTAGGTCCGGCACATGTTCTCACTCGTTTGGTTTTGGTCCGATGGTGGAGAGGTGAATTTCAAATTTTGTATGATATGATATGATGGCGCACAGGTGGGATGTGGGACCCTTGAAATTCCGCTTCGAGAGTAGAATTGCACCCATTTTTGAAGAACAGAAAGTTGAAAAGAAGGGAGGGGGGGAAAGACAAAATGCCCGAAAAGGTATCAAAGGTATATATATATCAGAGGGGCTAAGTTAGTATATCATATGATAGAAAAGCCAAGACCACCCAATAACCCACCCAATCCATCATTTCCCCGCATCGGATCTTTGCGATTTACCCTTCCCTTCCACGCCCGCGCAATCACTAGAAACATTCCACCGACAATCGCCTCTCTCCTTCGAAAATAAAAAAAAGGGTGGGAGGAGGAGGAAGGAAAGAAAGAAATCGAGGGTTGCACCACTAGATCAGCCAAGCGAAGCCCTCTTCCACAATCGGGCACCAAGGAGAATATCCAAGGATCGAGAACGGTAAGTAGTGATCCTCCGGAAAACCCCCCCCCCATAACCTTCCTTCCTCTTTCGCTGGGAGAAAAAAAATTTGAATTTTTTCGGGTCGATCACAGTTGCAGATCACACCCTCGCCCTGGAATTGAGGGTTGTGATCTTGTTTTGGCGAGCGGATGGGCACGGGTGATCGGTTGCGTCCTTCTCATCCCTGTTGTTCGCGTATCATAACTTCTCACCGAGGCGGGTGTCTTCGGGGCCATCCTACGTATGTGGTAGGATCGGCGTGGAGGGGGTTCAGATGGCGTTTTTTTACCGAGTTGGGAACGAGTCCGGTTAGTGGGCTCCGTTTGGGGTAACGTTGTGGCGATCGTGATTGGAAGGGAGTTTGTTGGCCTTCCTGGTGAGTGTTGGATGCGCTTGTGGGCCCCGGGTATAAGTTAGCTGGAGAAGTGTTTGCTTGTCAGTGGGGTTGGATTGGCGAGTGATTTTGGGTGAGTCGAGGGTTATGTATATATGATTTTGGTATGTGTAAGGGTGTTAATTATGCTTTGGCTGTCTATCGTCACAATCTTGGCACCCGCTCGTGAATGGGAAGGGATCCACCAATCAGTTTGAAAGCAAAGCAGAAGGCAATAATCTCAAAGAAAGGAGAAGAAACCAAGCCATTCAAAGGAGGAAACAGTGACTGCGAATCAGCACACGAGCGAGGAAAGCATCCGCGTGTGGATATGCATACGTAGTCTGGCCTACACATTCCTACGACAGGTATGCATAGGAAGGTATAGTGGGGCCTTGGTTATTCAACGGACGAGAGAACCGCAAACACAAGGGTGATGGCGGGTCCACACTCTGATAGGTTAATTGGATGAGTCAGCCCCGAATTCTGTGAATTGAGTTAAACCTACAAATGGGTTACCACCTCGCCGACCAATCTGGTAATTAGCTTGCAATGGAGCGTGAGCTCAGCGGATTGGCTGATCGGTAGATGGCCCAATGTCGTCACGGGCGCCACGCCAGACTGTGCCGGAGCTCTGGTCGAGCTTTGCGTCCTGGAAACGGAAATTCTGACTCGGTGTGAGTAGGAGGAGGGAGAAAGTCACGGATCACCTTACATGACCTGGTCCCGACTGGAGACTTGGAAGAAACAGCCTTTTGGCGGAATCAGATGGGATGGGAAAAAGAGACACCATCCGTTGATGTGAAAAGCGAAGGCATAAATGTACTGGGGGAGAGAGCAGCACAGCAGAGTACTCGAGTACTGTTGAGCATATTTTAAGTGAATGGCAGTTTTCATAGTTGTAGAATTTTGCGCTAGCTCAGTACGGGGGTGAATGCCCCCGTTAGTGGAGGACTGTTCCCATTTTCACACATACAGATACCCACGAAGACGAAGATTTTTCTTACTTGGGAGGATTGTCTATTGAGATGTTAGAAGAGGTGCTTCTCGGTTTCCTCTTTTGATTCAGCGTGGTAAGAAGAAGTTTGTTTTTTCTACCACCGGGTTTCTATCGGCAGGAGGGAAAGGAATCAAGTAGTCAGAATTACCAGATTAACTCTAGATCATTAACGCCTTGTAAGAGAAGCAGAGCTATAGAAGATCTACCCACGCTTTGTCGAGTGTCAGAAGAAAGAAAGAATGAGTTCTACCGAAACAGTACGGTATACACATCCGGTCACCTCCCGTTTGTGTCGGGATCTTAAGCGCGCCTAGTGGGCGAATGTAAACCGGGCGAAGACGTCTTGTTTGATTGGGGAAGTAGTGGTAATAGTGCTTGTTTGTATCTTCGTTCACTCCAACATATCCGGCAAAGATGGAATTGTATCGAGACTTGAGGGGTTCCAGGACCACCTCCTGCTCGCCATGGGACCCTCTAGTTTTCAATGTGGTTCCGGCACATAATGAAGAAAGATAAAGTCGTGGTTCCCGTTCCCCAGAGATTTCTATAGACAAGGTTATCGTGCTCCGGTATCTTCCGCTACCATCTCCACAGTCCTTATGCGCTCAATTGCACCCTTCCACGTTCGTGCGAGTATCGCCCTCTAGCTCCTTATAGCACCGATAGTCTGCTCTTTTTTCGCGTTTGGCGTCGATGGGCCGCGGCTGCACAGTTCTGCTTCCGGAGGCGCGGAAAAAAGGCAAGTGCCAGAGTGCCTATCGTGGTGGAGTAGGATTCTGATGGAGAATTTCCAACACTTTTATCTAGCTCGGTGTGTCGTAGTCATTGCGGACCTATGAGTGGTCTGGGACTGCTTTGGTTGTGTAGGCTTCGTCCGGAGGATTCGGTTTGGGCTTGGAGGGAATTGGGCAGAGGTGTGGGGTGGGGTTGGAATAACCACTTCTGGCAGTTGACTATCAGGGTCATTTGCATTGGGATAATGCACACGACTCCCTGGATAGATCTTTACACCTGAGCCCCGGGCTGGGACTTGAATGTGATTTTCTGGGTATTATTTGTTGGACAAGTGGACTGTCCTCGTCCGAGCGATAGAGCACAGACTCTACAGACCGGTACAGGAAAGGTTTAAGGGTTTCTCTGCAGGGCGTATCATCAGCTGGGCAGCGAAAAAGGTAAAGTGAACGGGCTGACCAGAGCTTGGAGGAGAGTGAGAAATGTATGTGGATATATAAACCCCAATATCGCTCGACACTCCAACAACTAACGGAAACGATTGGGGTATATTATGAAACACGATAAACGCATCTCGACACATTTCCGCTAAAGCAAGTAAGAGACAGACATGGACCAACTCCATAGATAGCAATGACTCCGGAACAAAGGAAACGATTCACACCGCTCCCGAAAATTATAAGGAAACTTCCGCAACCACCGCCAACAGCCGCTACCAGCATCACCCAGGAATGGCCAACCGCATCCTCCAAAATGCAAGCCGGGGGGAAGACTTCTGGTCCCAATCGCAGCTATAAACACCGACGGGTTCGAGCGAGCAAGTCACCAGCCGATGCGCTTCTCACGAGCAATTATTGATTGTTGCAATACTAACCTTCGACAACTTCAGCAAACAGTAATCGAAAGGTCCCTGATAACCTAGTCTGAGCCTTAAAACTTTCCGTCCACCTTCCTTCCATCAATTCAATTCACCCAGACTGGACAAAGCCCTACCAGGAGCGAATAATGCAGTAAAAATGCCAGCTTTACACGCTACAGACCACATAAGCTCCAGGTTGACGAAAACGATAGGTATCATAAATAAATATACTCCCACAGGATCACCCGCTAATCCCCCATGGCACTAGTAACACTCAACGAGCGATAGTCTACCCACATCCACACCCCCTCCTTGGTATGGTTGTGCCGATACTACCTATCCTCAGGAACACCTGCAGACCTTTTCCACAGTTTAGGGGCTGACGTGCTCCCGTGCTCACCCATCCATCCATGGTGGAAACCTTGAGTTGACGATTTACATAACGACGCCCCTCCACTTTCGTCGGGCTGGTAAGACGGAACGTTGGGGTGCGGTACGGTAGTCTAACTCATAATATCGTAAAGACATTCAGCCATCATGACGATGCCCCAAAACCCCAAAGTTACAATACACGCATACACAATCATTACCGACGACATTATTATGATACTTTTATGGTATGGTGCTGAGGAAAACACGACAAATCGATTAAGCGGGCTGCCTCACTCGAAGCAGACCTTCATTAGCCCACGGAAGGGGTATTAGAGCTTCACCGAGGAGCTGTGAGCGGCGCACTGCACTCGAGTACTGTGCTATGCGTTCCACCATGCTTCGTCAGAGTAATGATATCACTCGTGTGCGCCGGCTTCTTTCTTACGCAGCGAGCGTCAAGGATATTCGCCACCGGCGGGCTCAGGATGTGGGTCCTGTAAACTGTCTGCTCGCCTGGTAATGTTTTTCTTCCTCTTTGATGAGCCCTGCAGGACCTGTCCTGGCTGCGCCGGGGATTCCGAATGTGGCTTTATGCTTCGTTGTTGGCCCCTTCCTCGTGGTTCGTCTTCTTCTCGGGGTTTGTTCTCTTAGGGTTTGGGCGGGGTTGTCGGAATGTGTTATGCCCTAAACTGTCAGCTGGCAATCTGTCGGGGCCGCCCATCAAGGCGGGAATCACCGGAGGAGACTTCAAGTGACGTTGCTATGGCCTCGGGGCTGACGAAGGAGTGGGAGTGTTTAGTCTTGTGAGTTTGGTTTTTTTCCTGTGAAAAGAGACTCGCAGAGGCATGGATTCAATCAAATGTATCGTTACAGTTGTTAAATTTGTTAAATTTTGGGGTATTATAATAACGTTAGGTACTTCCTAACCAATCCCCTCCCTATATTTACGCCTACGGCTCTCGATTGGATTTTGGAAACGTACAAATACATTTTCAAAATACTAGGAAATTCCATGGTACAGAATGTGATATAAATATCAAGACAGTGCCAAGGGACAAACGGATGAACAAGAACCTGAGAGACACAGAAGCGGGAAAGCGAACTCATTTTCGCGGAACCCACTAGCCTTCACTAGCCCGCCGGGGCGCTGTAGACGTTGTTCGGATTCGAGGGTCGAGATGAGATTCGGTCCGTACATTGAGTCCATTCGACTTGTGACCGCTGCGGCAGGCACTACATTTTCCAACTTGCTTCCTAGGAACCCAATGGAGTAGTGTCCCTCCTACCCACCTCCACGTAAGACTGTTTAAGCTTACATAGGGGTTTCCAATTTGACAGCTCCCGAAAGACCGCTACAAGCAGTATCAGGGAGTGGTGTCTGAAAAAGAAAAGCATCCACTGAACCGGGAATAAAATTCCCGGTCAAGCAACAACTCAGTTACCCTCGAGCCCAATAGCCCAGGAGAGTGGTGTGATAACACAACCACCGCCCGCGGACCCTGGATTGACATCTTCCCGGTCAAACAATAGTTTGACCCTTGTCGAATAACAGGAAGCATATTCGAGATGTAATCGTCGGGGAGGGGGGGGAACGGAGCTTTATTAAATTTTTTTAAAAGTTGAGACTTTTCAAGCGAGCAAGCTCCCGAGGGATTGGTCGTAGGAGGATATTCTTGCAGAGTGAAATGTGTGAGGCGGACTGTTGATGATAAGAAGCATCAACAGCAGCATTAACAGAAAACATCAACAGTGACAAGCCCAAAGTAGCATCTCAAGAGTGCCTCCATCGAAGGATCATCATGGGGGTCAAAATCTGTCGACCCTATTTCTACCCCCAAGGCATGCTAGCGCATGACATAGCTCATTGGCCCACGACGGCCGCTCGGTGTGAGAAATCCACATCAGAGCTTCCATGCCGCTTTATTCTTTCTAGGGTTGCACTGTATGCACCCCCAGGATAAAACAACGAGCGCCATGTTGAGCTTTTCTCTTCTCTGATGGATCGTTGGCACTCTCCTAAGGTAGAAATCTGATACCAGCGTCAGCAAAACTCGGATTGTCGAGCAAATTTGGTTGCGACTTACATATCCGAAATGGTTTCCGAAACGACGCCATACCCCGTGCTAATCAGATAACAGCCGCAATTTGTACTGTTCAATGTAGCCCGAATCAGTAATGTGTCACCAAGATATAACCGAACATCATACCTATAGTCACAGTATAGACAACCAACACCAGAACCAGTGATCGCCAAGGTGTCTATCACCAGGGAGCTAAAGCGATCTCAATTAGCAATATGTTTCATTCCTAAGAGCGCCATCTCCATACCTGATATAGGTCTTTCCGACCCATCACCAGTTCTCTAACTTAGTTGTAAAAGGAAATCCCCTATACACCGCGGAGCGGGGAATAAAGCCTTATATCTCGGTATCTGTTCCGGGTTCCAAGGGCGACAGCCATCGCGGAATCATCGATGCATTATAACAAGAGGCTTATCGGAGTTGCTCGGTGTAATAAAGGTATGAGGATTGCCGGCGCCATCGAGATATATCTCGGTAGCGCCGGGCCCACCAGCGGGCGTCGCTGGGGAGTGAGGTGTCTGAAGGTTGAAGGATCCTGAGAAGCGGAGGGGGAAGAGGGGATATGTACTCGTACGAGTACAGGCTTGAGGCCCAACAAAAACCCCCACTCGTTTCCCGCCAAGAACGGGGGATCCCACACTAGAAACGAGAAATACATGTGACTGTTTTTTGGCGCGGGGGGTATGCCGTCACCGGAGGCACAAGGCAGGAGTCGGTCGAAGTCCGTCGAAACTAGAATATCCCACAAAATCCTCGGCAGCATTCGCCGCTAAGGACGGCTATCGGGAAAGCAAGGCCCCTATTAATAGTAGTACGAGTGATAACCCGTGATAATTTGTGGGAAAGGTGGGGTGGTCTAGTGAATCTCAGTGGCTAACCTCCTCGCTATAATACGTACGCGCACAGTGCTCGAGTGCTCGAGCACAGTCCTCCCCTGCACGGGAAAGCGAGTGCATTTACGGCGCCCGTACAGTGCTCGTGTATTGTCGAGTACGAGTACCTGTACTGTACTCGAGTATTATGTTCCGCCGCTGTTGGTTTCATCGCCGGCGCCAATAGGGACACGCCTCCTAGGGGTGTGGAGTGCGTAGTGCTTGGTAGGTCTGAAAAGGAAGCCCGAGCAGACACTGGGCTTTCCACCCGAGTGGTGGGAAAGGGTATGTTTAGGAACAAGCTATCGCAATTACGGTACTGTACCGGTATGGATTATCTCCGGGTAGCCGCCGACCCGGGGGTTCGGAATCCGTTCCTTACTTCGCCAGTTGCGGTAAGTTGGGTCTTGTCTACGAGTAATAGGTGATCTTGTGCAGAGGGGCTCTAAATCTTGGTGATAGCTCTGAAAATTGTACAAGTGACCGTGGAAAAGGTAAGCCCAAGAATCACGGTCCTCAAATACTCACCCGTGCTCGAGCATCGTACGTACCGTACAACTCAAATCTTGGGGAAATTATCCATGTCCTTAATGTGTTACCTGCAGCAGCTAAGCCTCCTTGCTTCTGGGGGTTTGCGGCGGTTGGGTACCGGTAGTATTTGATAGGTTACCGGTACAGTACTGCATTCCAGAGCGACCAAAAATGACATTTTAGGTGCTATTGCACCGGCAGCCCCACCGAGCACCAGGCGGCGGAGGCACCCCCGGTGAAGGCGAGTGAGATTCTGGTATCGTGGAATGGCTTTACCCCTACTGTACTCGTATCTGGTGAAGGACCTATATCTCGAGCGTAGATATGCTACACTAGCATATTTGTTGCCAAATTTCTTCATTCTGTGATATGAATACCATATCATACAAGTGCTACGATAGTCCAGCCCGCTCATTCCGTCTCCATCGTTTCTTTTTGGGTCGTGACTCGGGTAGGTCAGCATGAGGGAATCGACCTGAAAGGAGGCCCCTGAACTCCAGAGTTCAAGGGTATGATAGTCTGCTGTATCCCGCGCAGTCGCCCTTGGGGAAATCTTCACGTGAAGCCTCACTCTACTCGAGTATCAGTGTCCAAGGCCCTAGCCCATCAAACCCATGGATTGCCCCGCTATTTGCACCGAATTCAATCAAAGCAATAAACGACGGAACGCACTATGTAGGAAACAGGAGAGGTAGATAGCCAAAGTAAAATAGAGAAATATGATAAAAGAAAAAGTGAAAAGTGAAGAAAAGAAATAAACGCCCAATTTCCCACGCCCCGTCCCCTTCTTGTTTCACGAGATCAGACATTAACAGCACATCCCTACATGACCCACCCAACCCCCTCCACCCCCTTCCATGCAACCGCCAGGTGCCATGGGGCTCCGCTGCCCCTTCCATCGCCGACGACGCCCTTCCATAGCGCAAGGCATGCAAGGTCTCTATACCAACCCAGCACCTCTTTCAGCAATGGCACTGCCCCACCCCTATTCTCCGCGATGATCAATTCTATCTTTAATGCACGAAGCTCGTCCCCATCATTTATACCCCCACGTTTGATCAGGTACGCTAGGGCACCGCGAGTGTAATCTGGCGGTAAGCGGCGTATGTGCGGGAGCACGACTCCCCAGGTTTCGTCGCAGACATCGACCAGGTAAGAGTCAGGGTCTAGGTCCGGTGTCGGGTCAGCAGAAGGTGTGTTCGCTGCGTTGCCAAACTGGTCGGGAGAGACGATGGAGCCTGGCGTTGGGGTCGTGACGGGTGGGGTAGTGTATACTGAAACCTGGTGGTTGAAAGCTGTTGGTATGGGCGCGGGTAATGACGGGATTAGGTATACTGGCGGATTCAAGTCTGCAGAGAGGATTGCGAGTGAGTGTGTAGTAGTTGAGGCGAGGGTTGTCCAGGTACTTATTTCGTCTTGTAGTGGTTCGCCAACTTTTACCAGAATCAGACGCCAGTGGACTTTTCGGGTTGAGGTTATTTCTATTGTTTTGTTCCAGATGTCGCGGCAGACTTCATCAAATGGGCGCAGGATTGTGGTGTTTTTGCGGCCGAGAGAGTAGAGTTCCGTGGATTGGATCATGCCCCAATTGTCTGTCCAAGCGACGGATACCCAACGTTCGTCGAGCGATTGTGAGTAGGCTATATGAAGAACTGAGTTTTCCAGGAGAAGTGCGGGAGAAGGTTCGGTCGTTAGCTTGAACTCGATTGACTTTGGCGGCGGGCGGGAGAGATATATTGATGGGGAAAACATCTTCTGCGCCTACCACTGTTAGTTGGGCTTCAATGTTGGGCAAAGGATATCGTAAACTATACCTCTTCTGGTGATGATGCACCATCACTCGGCACACACCGATTGTACACCTCCGCAGCTAGCCTAGCCCATTCCGCCTGTCCAGTACCAACAGCCCCCATTTTCCGTGCAAGGAAGCCTGCGCGAACAACTTGGAGCACCAGATTGTTCCCTTTGATACCCCCTAACCGACTCTCATAAATCTTCTTCATCTTCGAAAACCCTACGCAGATATCCACAAGTGCGCTTGGATGTTCAAAGGGGTTAACCACGTAAACAACAATATTGCAACCTTCATCCGCAACGTTCGCAAGCACACTACCGAAACCCTCCATTGCTTTAATGACTGCTTCTATGTCTCGTTCCTTAACTCCATACCCCCCATTCTCTACCACTCCGTCTAGTTTTGCTCGAACGTGTACACCATACCGCCCGCTTTCGTAGGCTCCTGAAACTCTCTCTAGAAAGGCATCCGCTGCTTCCTCCATTGATCGAGAATCAGGATGCAGGCAGAAAGCAATGACATTCTTGGCACCAGAACACGGGCCAAACCCAAACGTTTCCCAAAAATGTAAGGCCGGTGGTAATATTTCAAGCGCAGACTCCGCTCTATGGATATGAACATGCGGGGGCGGTAGTTTGAAAACTGCTGTGTTGACTTCCGCCTCGGGTCTCTTGGCCATCGCCGACGCAATTCCCCCACGCCGGGGTTGAGGTATTGGCCGCATAGCCGCGGCACGACCAAGTAGTGGTGGTGGCTCAATGACCGCATCTGCTATTGCAACATAGGCTTCTAATGTGCACCTTGCGACACCCGTCTTCCCAAAGAGCGACTTCACAGCATCTTCCACTGCACCTTCATCTTTCCCCCGACGTTGCCGTATGGCACACCATTCCTCATCGTCATCCTCGACAGTTGTCTCGATACCACTCATCTCCATTAAGTCCCCAAGAGGTTTGGTTGTTCCGTAGACGATCTGATCGCGAACCAGTCTGCTAACGGTAGCAAATTCATTATCTCCCAAGCGCGCAAGTGATATAGCTTCTGTTTCTAAACTGATGTTCGAGAATATTCCAACCAGGTTCGGTTCCGTAAGGTCCGGTACCATCACCTCCCAAGGCGGTGGCGCCATTTCTCCTGGAACTTCGACTTCCCCATCTGCTCCGACCCCTATGTCTCTTTTTGCGGAGTCCAATATCGGCGGCGCCAGTTCCATTTCCTGATCCTCGTTTTCATATGCTCGCTTCCGTTTTCTGCGGGCCATACCACTACCGTATGCCACAGCTACCGGACTTGTATAGTATGCTCCACCCCCAGGTTCCTCCTCCTCTTCGTCAGTTTCGTCGTCGGCGTCACTTTCGCTGCTTGTTTCATCCCCAGAGTAGAATTCGCTCTCATCTTCCCCTTCCCCTACTGCTCCATCACTATCATCCATGACTGCATCCTCGTCTCCAAGCACTACTTCAGCCACCTCTGGTGCAGCGGCTTCCTCTACAACCACTGATCGCATATACATACTGCCACCTCTTTTTCGCTTCAGACCAATGGTGGTAATGTCTTGCTCCTTCTCTAGCTCCTTCTGCTCCTTCTCTTTTATGCTCTCCGGTAAAAAGAATCGGCCTCCAGGTGCATATTTTCGATCCGCCATTTCAACTTTTGTAGTGAATGTGATAGGTGAATAGAGTGACATCCGACGTTTGGCCTCACTGACCCCGCCGCCTAATGGTGCGAACCCCCCATTTTTCTGCGGGGTCTTCATGGCGGAAACCGTTGTAGGTGGTGTAAGATGCTGGGAACTCCTCGTCGGGTTGGAGGCATATTCAGGAACCAATAATCGAATAGCTCTATGTGGACTTAATGGTGGTGTCTGGATATGTGGCTCTGCTTTGTCGGATGCGGACAGCTCTGCAGGTTTTGATTCTTCTGCAGATTGATCCATATTTTGTGTTGGCATGCCGGGTGTATCCACTAGAGCGAGCATATCCTCCTTCATGGTGACTTCCGGTGACTCCACCTCTAGATCTACTGTGCCCCCGCCTCCAAAATCGACATCAAGTCCCATATCCACGTCTCCAGCACCCCCACCACCACCCCCGAATCCGTCTAATTGTCCGGGATTATTGTCAAAAAATGCAAAGTCGTCTTCTGTGACCCCCCCTGCAAACATATCTTCATCCATGTCTCCTCCGAACAGATCCGCTTCTCCAGTACCTCCCGCCAGCGCCACTCCTCCGGTTGCATCGCTTTGCTTCCGAACGGGGCCGGGAACGGCATCCGGCATAACTCCATCTATCCAGCCAAGATCCATGTCTGTTGCAACAGTGGTAGGGGCGGTATTGGATGTCGTATTCGGTGCGCTACTACCCGGGCTTGTCGAGGAGGGCCCTGGGAGTTGCTGCTGCTGTGGTTGCTGTTGCTGCTGCTGCTGCTGCTGTTGTTGCTGTTGCTGCCCGCCGTCGGGCGGAGTGGGATAGACACCCGCATTCCCGCCAGCAACAAGACCATCCTTCTTTGCCTCATCTAGGAGTTTGAGTTTGCCTTTAACGCTCCCTTCTTCCTTGGCGTCAAGTACTGGCTCAGCAGCCTTCAACTGCTGCTCCTTTTCTGCCTCGGCCTCCAGTTTTATTCTTTCCTGTTCTTGCTGTTGTCGCTTTTCTTCCCGTCTAGCCATGACGATCTTCTCACGATCTTCCTTCCCTCCCATCCATTCCTCTGCCCAATACACGGCCGATGGGATATCCCACCACTCCGCGCCCAGCTCCCTTTTGTCCTTCACTCCAACAGCCAGAGAACGCGATAACCTCCCCGATGCAAATCTTGCATACTCAGGAGCATCGAAAACCTTTTTCCAGAAGGCATCACAGTCCTCACCTCCGCTCCGCAATCCGTTAGTATCACCCTCCGAAGTGCGCAGGAACAGCAGTGCATCTGGCCATAATATTTTGACAAGCATGCCCATCCCTTCGCTCGGGGGATCCTTAATAGGGACCCAAATCTCAACCCTTCTCCATCGGCCCTCATCAATCGCTTCCTCAAGTATTGTCTTTTCCTCCCACTGGCGGTTTGGCGCAGACAAAATCCCACAGTCCTGTAAGTATTCTCTGACCGAAGCTTTCCACCTTTCCTCCCGCCCACCAATTTTCAACCCCTCCCCGGATACTAATCGGCCCCATTCTCCCCATGGCGCGATAAACACGTCTCTTCTATCAAGCTGTGATGATAGCGATGATGAAACACGTCTTAAAGCGGCCTGAATGTGGGTGTGCGGTGTGACAAGAAAGGTACCAGATGTCGTCAGGTATGCCTCTAGTGCGAGTACCGACGGCCGGAGTAAGCCAGGTAACGTGATGGGGGCGGAAGGGAGCAAATCCTCTTTATCCTCCTTCAATTCAGCGACATGGGGAACGAGCGACGAGGGGGAGACGAGCGTTCGGATGTTGAGTGATGTATAGCCGTTGTGAAGCGACAAATTGAAGGAAATAGATGACAACACGGCGGCAAGAAATTGTTTGTATGGTAGCAAATGATCCTCTTTAGATTCCTCTAGCGGATCGTCTGTCAAGTCAATAGTGGCCACATCTTGTGGTGGGGGTGAGAATATTCCCGCTCGGGAGGTGGGTACAGCAGGCGTAACAGGCGTGCTCCGCCCAAGCTGTACCGGCGAAAATATACCCCCACTACCCTTCGCAGAACTAGCTAGCGATGCTGCGAGAAACACTCCTGACGACGATTCTGCTCCGATAATCCCAATTAACCCTTTCCTTCCGTGCCCGCTCTACCGTCTAAGCCCTCGCGGAGAGGGGGAGTGAGAGTACTGACCTGTCAACCCCCACTCTTCTCCAATACGCTTCTCTAAACTCTTCCATTTCCCCTCTGTGGACTCCTCAGCTATTTGCGCCTGTACCTCCCCTTCCACGTGGCTTTCTCCGCCCTCACCTTCCGGCCCGTCATCCCTAGGCGCGCCGTTGCCAAAACACTCTACTTGAAATACCCAAAGGGCGTTTGACTCCCTGTCGCCGAGCACGATATAGCCTTCGCTCCGAAGCGTTCGCTCTGCATGGCGTATGGAAAAAGAAGTCGAGGGGGACGGATTGCGGTACAGGATGTAGGGTAATCGAGAGAGGTTCTCCTGTGCTCGGTTAGCTAGGGCAGCCAAAGGAAAACCCAACGGAATCATGATGTCTTGTAGAAACAACATCGGGGGGAATGGAAGACAGACGATCTTAAAGACGTTAGTCAGGCACGTTTCGGGGGATTCCATGCTTGCGAAAGGATGAGATGTAAGCTCTAGCGGTGTGTCTATGTCGGGCTCACAAGTCAATCATAAAGCGTCCGTGGCATGCGTAGGAGAACAAGAGAGCGACCCGGTTCACCGTAACCTCACGCGCACAAGAACGTGGGACCTCCGGGTGCTCCTACTGGCGGTGGTGGTGATGGTAAGTTGTTGGCGGTGTGGGTGTTGGTGGTTGAGTTTAATGAGGCTCTGCGCTTAGAGTATAACACCTCCTCCCTCAGTTCCCTCACTGTAACCTCCCTTCCCTATCCTATCCTTTTCCTCCCTGGGACGTTATTTCACCCCTTTCGTGCTTTTGCCTCCACGGCTCTTTCTTATTCCGGCTACCAGTAGTTCGTTTGGATCTTTGGGCAGACTCGAGCGCGTTTGGAATCAAACGGACCGAGCGGAGATACCCGCAGACTCAATAGAAACCCGACGGTGAGGCAAAGAGAATTGGGTGACACAATTGTTCTCCAAAATGCGCAAATGGCGGCAAAAACAATTGCTTTCTGCTTTCCATGATTCACCATTCTACGAACGAGAGTATTTGAGCCGGCTCCGTACGATGAGTGGAGGGTTTTGGGTCCCCCCGTAAAAAGCGCAATTCACTTAAATCCAGCCCCGTCTTATGCGTTTCTTTGGCCCGAGGGGGGGGCGATTGATACAGCAGATTTCTGCAGTTTGCCATAACCATCCAGGGGAACATCACCATTGTTTCCATGAAAGGCAAAACCATGGTCAAAGCCGGGTAACAACAGCAAACCCCTACCGCCGAGCTTCCGCAGCGGACGGGATACCCAATCCGGGATCGATCCCCGAGACACCCGCTCTCACTCGTAACCGCTTCGGGTTCGAAGGGTAAGTTTACGTAGGGCGCGCCACGATACAGTACGGTAACGCACCGCATTATTCGAGCACTGCCTGCCCGCACAAAACATCAGCCAATAGGATCCCTAGCCATCCCAACAAGCCCCCGAGGATATTATTCGATGCCTTGCATACACAATATGAGTCCCGCGAGGATAGAGGTCAGGGCAAGGGTTTTTCTAAAGATGGAATCCCTTCGTTTGAATACGTGTTCTCCGGGTATCTCACCGGGGTGAGAACTCGGTCGATACCAGCGGTGGTTGAGCTCTATACGATACCACTTACGATATCGCATCCGTCGTGGCAAATGGGTTTTGGATTCAATAGTAAATTAGTTACCGGCACAGCTTATGCTTTTTCACACTCTCCACAAAAAAGCCTGATATGCAGGCTTCAACTTGTGCGCCCACAATATCATTGTTAAATTGATTCTTATTTTATGATAATATTACCGTATAATAAAATAATAAAATATATCCAGTATGCCCAATTGTCCTTAAATTACTTTTTGAATTCCAGAAAACCCTCAGCCCTGGGGATATTGTTTTTATAGACTCTTTTACCGATACTTATACTATAAGGAAACTTTATAACATCATAATTTTATATCCTCTTTAATTGGGCCCCTACATCATCATTTTCGTGGATAACATGATCGTCATTTGTTATGGCGATATGTTGCCAAGGGGTACAGTACACTTATTTGATTGACACGGCTGTACTGTATCGTACTTGTGCAAGTGATGATGAAAGGACCCACCAGGAACTTTGGTGCGGGTAATGAACATACCAAACCCGGTCAATGCATATTCTGCCATCACCCACCGAACGGACCCCTCTCTCTCCGACCCCACCCACTGGCGCATCTGTTCCACCCCTCCGTCTTCGCGGTATTCGGCGTGAACCGGATCGAGTCCATCGAACTCGGGCCAGCTAGGCTCACGATACTCTCGTACAGGCCCGAGGGAACCAGAGCTGGATTTTGCTCACTCCGCCACTCTTTCCGCGATTGTAGGTCGGCAGAGTTCTCCACAACTGCTTTCCCTTTTGTTCACTTGAGCATGTTAGCTCCAATTGCCAAACTGGATCCACAAGATCCTGAATACTCAAAACCTACTTGGCAATCCTGTTATTCTGTCGACTGTATATCTGGCTTTTGACCATAATTCAGCCTAGGTTGGCTTTCCCCGCGATCGACACTATCTCATCCACCAGTTCCTTTTCAACCTTAACGTCTTGAATTCCAACACGTATCCATTACCGTCCCGAGTCTCCTAAAATTGTACTGTATCTAGTGTGAATATGTGCAGTACAGTACTGTGAGTGTCGTGTTGTATCAACAAAACCCGAATTTAACCAAAAGTTTTTTTATCTTCATATCCACAGATTTGGGGACTACCAGCCCGTTGCAAGGCTAGGCGTATTCCTAGGCCTCGGGTCAGTGTTATATACAGCCTCGTTCGCAAAGTTCTCGTACACCTCCAAGTACCCTCTGTCTTTGAAAACGCTCTGCTAACCCTCTCTTATTATTCGGCAAAATAAATTGTCTTGAAGGTTCACAGTGTCTCTAGAGGCATATCTCAAAAAGGCTTTTCTCGTTCTCTTGTTGCTAGTCGGCACAGCCTAAGGTACAAGAGAGGGGTAGGAGGATTTTACGAATGCGGTTGTACCGAAAACTCGAAACTCTCGAGGTGTTATTGGACAGTTTCCGTTGGATAGCAAGAATCATGGAGAATACCTGGCTCCGAGCAAAACCAAAATCGGGAGAGGTTCAAGCTTATTACACCTGGAGGTGGGTCAGTAACCCAGCCCAACCCACACCAACAAGCTACAAGAAGTGTCCGGTCATCTCGATACTTTCCTTTCCAATACCAGGAATGAAATCGTGGGGTTCAAGCAGTGTTATAATAAGACCAGTCATCTCGGAATTGAACTGTGTGGAACCATCCTCTTTCCGGCGTGCATTGCCGCAGCATTCGCGGCTTGAAAAAGCGCGGAATATAAATCTGCTCCATCTCAGCAAAACCGAGGGCGTTTCTTTGGCTTAGTGTGAAAGCTTGGATTAGTGCTTTTCTAATCGTCCTCATCTGAGACAGGACGGCACTAGGACAACTTACTCGAACAGTGTAATCATTTGGACTGCTTCCAGAACTTTACAGGATCATGAACGGGCGGCGCGTGTTCCCAAAAATATATAATAATAGTATCCTGAGTTCCATTTATATCGCTCCTGGAGCCCATGAAGGCAAATCCTCCACAAGTACTCCCAGTGACTCGATGCCCCCTCGGGGACACCCCGGGAGACAATACTAGTAGTGGTACAACTGTGCGCAGCAAATCTCGTAGATGTTGGTGTGGGTGTAAACTTCTCCCCCTCAATTCAGGTTGTAGATGACTCCCCATTTCTCTCATCCTCCTTTCCACCCCTCTCAATCCTCCCCCTCAACGCACCCACCCCCTTCTCGGGACGATCAATAACCACCGGAAAAGACATATCCAGCATGAAACCTTCTCAGGAAATCATGTGGCAATATGTGGCCAGTAGAAAACCCAAATCATGGGTTGTGCAACAGGTGGCAAACCCTTCCATCATACCAAGGCTGTAATAGTAATGGAGCATAAAGTTTGATAGACTTATTATCCTCACGGTTTCAAGTGCAATCACAACAGCATCTACTAACACGGCGCATATACATAAGCCCTCTCCACGAATCTGATCGATCACGTGGAGCGGATTGCGGTGACCAGGCTCTATATATTTCATCACCCCACTTTAATTAAAGGTCCGCAAAAAAAAAAAGTTCCTATTCATAACC